GGTCCGTTTCAGATCGCAGCGCGGCCAGAGCACCCCGCGGGGCTCATCGACGTGGAATCATTCCGCAATGCGCAGGAGGATTTGCTCATACATGCCATCAGCCTGCACGGCGCAACAGGTCTTGGTCGGGCCACGCCAGACATGCCTACGTCTATAGCGCAGGCACTGGGGGCAGAGTTTGGCGGCGAGGCCCGGCACCTGCGAATTCTGCCGATGCGGGAGTTTCGCCGTTCGAGAGGCGACAGTCTCGGCGGTTCGAGCTGCAGCGACTGCGGCCGCCCGCGCACGGACCCACTTCGACGCGGGCCCCATCGCGTCTGCCAGGAGTGTCTCCGCCGATCGCCGCCAAGCGCCGAGGGCTCTTCTTCTGCTTCGCCGCCAGTCGCGGACGCCCGCCACCTGATCGGCGACAAGGGACTCGAATCCGCCGGGTTCGCGCAGTTCACGCTGAGTCGAGCAGACGAACAAATTGGATGGATCCACTTCGATTCGTCTGCCTCCAGAGTTGGCGCTGTTCAGGAGCGCCACGCGCCTGGCGAGGGCGTCGAGGACTGGGCGGAGAACGGGGCGCGCGGGGGGGGGGGGGGGGCGAGTTGGGCGCGGGCGTGGGAAAAGGGAATATCTGTTGATACTGCCACGTCTTCTCACCACTCGCGCGGCGGGCAGAGCGAGCGCTCGGGGAGTTATGTTAGGGCACGTAGAGAGGACGCGCGTTTGATTAAGCTTCCCAAGCCACGTAAAACAAAAACACATGGTTGTTACACTTTAATATGGGCTTCTTGTTTCTGGAACTCGACCCCAACCAAATTCTGCAATCTGCCAAGTTTACACCCCTTTCCCTATATGCTGATTTTGCCTTGCTCAGGAACACGACCAGAACTCCGAAGGGGGGCGTCGACGGGCTGACCAGCTCGAGTACCCCATTATCAACGACATCGACATTGGCAGCGAGCGCGACAGCCTTGTGGACTCCGGCATGGACGATGCTTCCTCCGACACACCCCTATACGAAGACGGCATGTCCTGCGACCCCCGCGACGTAGAGGACGACACGGAATCTGAGGATGATACCTTAGAGGACAAGTCCGAGGAGGATCTCATCGAGGAGTTCACATACTCAGATGGCCTTATGACAGACGCCCCCCCGTCGGGCGACTGGGTCGTCGATGATGACGAAGACGGCGGAGATCAGGCTGGGGGCATAACGCCGCCCGACATTCTTCCGACTGGAGGAGCGATTCACGACAGCAACGGCGGCGACGCAGATCTACGGGGCGGATTGGGCCTCGTCGAGAAGCGCGCGGCGGGCGGCGTCGGCGCTCCGCCGAAGCCTGCCGTGGAGCGGCCAGCCTTCGCGCAGCCCAACTGGCGAGCGGCCGCTGCATTGGCGAAGACCAGGGGCGGCGCTTCCACGGGCAAACCTCAGAGCGAGAGCGCTGCCCAGAAGACGAAGCCAGGTCGAGCAGCATTCCGCCGCGAGACCCCCCTGCACAAAGTATCTCGGCAACCTATCAAGCAGGGGAAGGAGCTGTCTTGGCAAGCAAGTCCAAGTTGACCAGGGTTCCGCACCGCATGCTCGCAAGCATGACGCCTGCTGACAGGTGCCGGTTCGGCGTCAAACTTGGCCCGCTGCTGAAGTTGGAAGGCGCCAAACACGAGGCGTGCGGCATCAAACTCGTGTTGAGAAACGCTGACAACGCAGACGCGCCTGGCGTCGCGCTGGGCGGTTTCGACGACATCCAACCCGTTCAAACCCTCTGCAGATACTGTTGCAAAGGTCGGACCTGCGCGGGCATGAAGGGCGTGCCAATGGCCCCCAATGAAAACGCCGTGATCCAGCTCGGCAATCCGGGGCGGGCGCCCGCAGGCGAAGGCATTATGATGGTGCGCCTTGCTTGCCAGCCGTTCGTCCAGAAGTATACCAGTGCCAATGATTCCGCGCTCGTCCAGGGAATCATCCGCTCCTCAACAGAAACTTATCTGTACCAGGTGACCAGCGGGGCAGCCACATTATACCTACTCCGATCCTGGCCAGACAAGTCGTTGGTTCTGGACAAGTGCATGCGCCTCCCTGGTTTAGCAGGGAAGGCGCTTGTACTGATCCTCGAATCAGGATGAGCTGGGCCAGAGTTGGTGCATGCATACTTTCGGTTCCCCTCGCCAGGTGGGGGCGGAGCAGGCCACGCTGAATATCGAGGAGCAAAGCAAAATCAACTTCTCCAGGGGCATGATGGTTGAGATCGACGAGACCGCAGTGAGGGCAGAGAGGGTAAAGTGCTCGCCGAACTGCAAGTTTTGCCAGGCACCGTGCGCTGATTACCACCTGCAGTGGATTGGGTGAATCATGCTAATCCGTCGCGGCGATAGAATCTCCATCGTCGTACTCCAACTTCCCGTTGCGACGTCCGAAGATGGTGGCGGCGGCGTCCGCCTTAGCCAGCATGAGTGCGACGACTTCGTTCCGAAGTACTTAGGGCAAGGTGTGCTGGTCTTTACCGAC